AATAATAATAATAATAATAATAATAATAATAATAATAATAATAATAATAATAATAATAATAATAATAATAATAATAATAATAATAATAATAATAATAATAATAATAAAATGGTAACAAATAGTAATAATAATGACAGTTAATGAATAAACATTATCGATGGAAGACTTTGCAGAAAAGAAGTGAAAAAATGAAAAACTTACAAGGTCGTTCGTTGAGAACGCGTAGAATTTCGCCTCTCTCAAATGCTAATTCGTCAGGCCATTCGGCTTGATTGTCGTAAATCGCTTGAGCAACGCCAACCTGTAATTGTTATAAAAATGTTCAAATCAATATTTCTGCTCTTTACTGTTAAACAAAAATGATAAGAAATTTACTTCACTTATATCTGGGAATCATCTTCAAGATAACCAGAAAGTATGCAAATTGTTTTTATCGATAAGATAATCATATCAATTATGCTTCTTTTTTTTCATGCTGTTTGTATGATTCAAATATGCTTATATTTTACTGATAGTAACGAATTATGTTTAATGAATTCGGTGATAATCTTTGGTTAAGGAGTAAAGTTCACGTACGTCAGGATATGCTGAGACATACATAGACAAATATACGTATTAGAAAGTGGCAAAATATAAAATATTGAGGATAAGATGTACATGTGAAGAGTTAAAAATCATAAATGTTCATCTTAAATTAAATGGGTTTTGAAATTTTAAAAGATGAGAGAAAGGTATGAAGAAAATAGGAAGAGAATTTAAGAATGAAAAAAACAAGCCGAAAAAATAAAAACGCTTTGGGGGATGCACTAACTACCATTCAGTCGTAACTGTCCCATTAACATCCTCATTAATTATTTTACATTTCATTGGTTCTGCGCATTTACTTCTCGTATGTGGTAATTATACGAGGAACAAGGAAAGGATTTCGAAATGACATTTTCGACTTAAAGTAATAATTTAACTCAGCCTTAATGAGGCATGAAACAAAGTTATTTTGATGAATTTAAAAAAAAAATCTTTAAATTTAAACCTAACAACAAACAGTCAATGAATGAAATAGTTGATTGTGACAAATGTGGACAGATGTAATTAAATAAAAGAGATGAGAGTAACAGGGTGAAGTGAAAAACCTGTAAAAGCTGTTTTCCTTCTTTTTCTTTTTTTTTTTTGAAATCAGTAAACAAGAATGACTGACCGTATTATTTAACTAAATCTATGCAATTGCAATCAAATTTGACTAATTATAAATACATTTTCATCCTTTTCTTTTTATAGATGAAATAATTCCACACATTTAATATTTAAAAACAAAAGATAAGAAATCATTTTTTCTTTTGTCAAATCAAATTTTTCAGTAAAAATTTTTGCAAATTTCCAAAATTTCCACCTTTTTTTTTTTTTTGGAAATTCGATTATTCTTAAATTAATGTGCTATGCATTAATTCTCATCATTTAGCACAAATTTATAGCATGAAGTCTTTAGTCTTTATTCTTTTCAATAACAAAATGATAACATTTACTGAGCATTTTTATCAAACGATAAATCAAATTGTCAGAGTTATTCAGACCATGCTATCAATGTTACGTAGATTTATTTGTTCGTAAGAAGATTACAAAAACATGTGATAAAGTGATATGATAAATTTGATAAAGTGAAGACACGAAGAGTTATAACTTTATCGAAAACAATTAACTGAAATTTTCCGCTGAAAAAAGAAGTGGAATAAGTAAACAAATATTTACGATAACCTATGGTACTAGTACTAATCTACTAACCTAATCGATCGTAGTGATCGGATCGATGATTGATTCCGTGCAAATTTTTGTCCTTAACAGCTGACTTTTTCCTTCACAGAGGAAACATTGTGGTATAAACAGGCAAATATACTAACGATGGAGAAAATGACGCCCAAAATAAAATTATAAATTCACATTTAACTTCATAAATATTTGTCTGCCAGCAATCAGTTTGTCTGTCCACAATATTCATCTTACCATTTGTCTGTCCATAATATTCATCTTACCATTTGTCTGTCCATTATATTCATCTTTCCATTTGTCTGTCCACAATATTCATCTTTACCATTTGTCTGTCCATAATATTCATCTTACCATTTGTCTGTCCATAATATTCATCTTTCCATTTGTCTGTCCACAATATTCATCTTACCATTTGTCTGTCCATGTATTTGACCATTTAGTTCTATGCGAAATAAAAGACATAATGAATACAAAGCAAACTTTTTTCTTTTGCATAATTTATCTTTGAAAGATTCAATTAACAACTTTTAATATCCCTAACTTCCTCCACCTCTCGTCTTATTATTTGTTATTTTTCTATTAATTAAGGGGACGAAACAGGATAGAATCCATTAAATCCTAATGGTTAACTTCTCCCAAATAACTATGTGATTACAATAGTTTTATTTCATTCTCTGTTCAATTACTTATTTAAAAGAATTTCCAGCGAATAGTGAAAGTTTTGGGGAAAAAATTAATGAAATTTAATATATTTTGGTAAGAAAAAATGGAAAAAAAGACTAAAAGGAATTGAAGTTAGAGAAGAAAAAACAAGAAATCAGTAAAATAATCAGGTTTCACACAGTACTAAGCCATTGTCTGATTCAGGTTTCACACAGTACTAAGCCATTGTCTGATTTTAATTATTTGAAAATGGAAAACTTGTTATATCCGGAATATCATTCTATCTGAACAAATGAAAATCATCCATTCGCCCAAATCATACCCTATAATGATTATTGGTTCACTATTTATGGCATATTTAGTTTGTCAAAAATAATTTTTACGAATATTTCAGTTCTCTCATTAGCTGTATAAATAAATGAATGAATGAATAGATGAACATATAATGGATGATTGATCAAGAGAGAAGGCAAATATAATTCACTATTTTACGGATATAATAAATTCGGGTGATAGATAAGGATTTAAATTCAATTTTTTCCTACTTTCGACTTGATTATATGTTGTGGTCCCCTAATTTGACTCCTGAAACTTATCAATTAGTTTTTTCTCCTAACCAATTAATTGCCTTTTAAACAAAGAATTGGTAATTATCGCTATTTGAAAATCTGTAAAAAGGAAGATTGATTCATTTTTGACTTGTTAATTCAAATATAATTTTAAATAATTCATTAAAAAATTTAGTTTAAACAAATGAGGGGGCATATTGTTTGCCAAAAAGTAAAAATATTTGATATTTTTTGCAAAATGATGCTGCTAATTATCGGCAAATTGGACCACTTGATATTTTTAGTTTAAGGAATAAATAAAAATTTGATATAAAATGTAAACTGGTAGCATATTGTATTTCATTTTAAAACATTTTACGAATGCAATAATTGCACATTTTTACTGACCCAATTCCTGAATTTCTATCTTTTCATATTTTCAGGTATTATTGATAAAATAAATGATTATTTCCAAAAAAATAACCATTACGGACAGAATAGGAATTTTCTTCTGATTTTGAATTTTCGTTCTATTAAACCAGTAAAATAGTCTATTATTATTCTTGCCTTTAATCTGAAATTACTATTTTAAATGAAAAAAAATGATTGATAGAAAAAAAAATAATGGTAAATAGGAGTTGCACAATTCATTCTAATAGTGATCCATGGAATTTAATCTATCTGTAGAGATGAATATAAGAGATGCTGTGAATCATAAAAGGTATGAGAGTACGATGTGAAAACAAGAATTGTTGAAGTTGATTGGAAGACCACATTGTTACAACAATGATTCAAGGTCAGTCGCAGGTGAAATGGCCGGTCGGTGGAAGAAATCATAAAAGAGACCATTTATTTGAAGTTCGACTAATGGATTTGATAACATTAATAAGATTGAAATGCATTTTATCCATTAATTTTATTAACAACTACTACTTTTTCACTTTTTAAAAGATCAATTAACAATATCATATCTGGAATACTAGTTTCCTTTGTATGTTTTTGATAAATGCTATGAAAATTTGCATGCTACAATCTCGAGTTTAGCTATTTGAGATCCGGTATAGATTAAAGGTTATGTTCTATTCATAAAAGTATCGGCATAAATTAAAATATACTTTTAAAATCCATCTCTCAGATCATTTATTGTTAGTTTATTACCGTTTCCAGTAAGTTGATGATTACAAGGAGTAGTTCTTTTTGACTGTCAATCTAACAATAAATAAATATTCCGAAATGTTCACAGTGTTGAATTCTTAAAATGACCATCCTAATAACAAAGAGTATTCCGGAATATTCATAATGCTCATTCTCAAAACGATCTTTAACGATGAAAAGATAGAATGAAAGGATTACTGAAAAATATCGTTGTAAATAATTAACTTCATGCTATACGAATGGTTTTCGGGAAAAGAAATTAATATTGATATTATCTGGTAAGGAAAGAAAAATACGAAAATTTAATATTTCTAAAATTAAAAGCCAAAAGAAACTTAGGCTGATATTTGCATAATCAAAAAGTAATCGATTTAAGCTAAGGAATAGAAAAAAGACTGAAACATTTACTTCAAAAGTATTTTGTTGATGCATAATTTATGCCAATAAAAACAGTCAAATAAACCAAATAATAACAAAAACTACACATTGCATATATTGGCTTTTCGTCCTAATTTCATCACTTGGCAGTATTTTATTAGACTGATAAAGATGAATTACTAATGCCTAAAGTGAAGTAAAAGTAGTAAATAGACAGATTTATCCTTCAAAAAAAAAAAAGTAGTTATTCAATGGGAAATAATAGAGCAATGAATGGAATCGAATGATATGTGCTCGAATTTTGAACCATATTTGTCGATCATCTTTTCAATTTCTCTTTTCTTCTCTGGTTTTCCGCAAGTTTCAATCTTTTCCCATAATCCTATCGTTGAGCTGTCTCCGAGATTTCCTTCGAGTAATGATGATAATGATAGTAACGAAAAATGACCATAACAACGATCGCTTGACCGCCCCAATTAGTACATAATGAATGAATGGAGAAGTTATATTAAGTTCCCATATATCATTAGATGCGAAAGCATCAAATTGGTCATTCGGTGATAAATTGTCAATGGATACTACTAACCAATGGGTAGAGTGCGATAGTTCTTCTTCTAAAACGCAACCTTTAATCGGTAAGTTCGAAGACTGATTGGTAATACGACTTAACTATTTTGTAAGAAACTTCTGAGATATACATACATTTGATGAGTAACAAACTGTATAATATGTTGAAATTTCAATTCCTAAACGAAGAAAAATTAATGAAATAATAAAATGATTGGTAAAACTTTGTTAGCATTCTGTACTTTCATGATTCATCTTTATAAGAGAAAACAATATTTGAGGTATCATCCTGCAGGGTTAAATAAAAAGTTGTGATAATATGCAAATTAATCCTTCATATATTCTATTATATTAGCGGATAACTTACTCGGTTAATCTTCCAGATCATGAATCGTATGAAGCAAACGATAACAATACAAACTGGAACAAATTCATTTCTGTGTTGGCGAAGAAAATGGATATTCGAATGAGAATTTTCAATATCAGAATTTTTACTGATAGAATTCAGTGTTCGACGGACAAATTTCGCCAGAAATTTTCGAAATTTACCAGCAAAACCTCTTATTAACATTTGATTTTAATGACAACAGAATAGATAAAAGGAGACAGTGAATTTAGAAAGGAACTTATAATATCATTTATATAATTGAATGATTTCATTTTGTCCTTCTTAGGCGTTTGTAAAACTGTTTCACAGAATTTCAAAAATTTGAATCAAAAAAGATGTGAAAAGTGGAACGGATATTATCGGCAAATGTATATGTGATAGTTATATGAAAAAAGAAGAAAACTAAGCGTAAGTAATAAACTTATTATTCGTTTTAATATGATCTGTCACATTTGTCCACCTGCTTCCTAATTAGCATGAGTCAATCATTCTGCTTGATCGAATATTTCTGTCGTATGTATTTCAAATGAAATTATTTTGAGCTAATAAATGACAGTCAATTAAAATTTTTCTCGTTCTGACTTTACCTTTGAACAATTTCTTTTTCCAGTATTTTTTTCAACCAAATAACTTTCATATAAAGTTTACCTATTACGAGAATTAGAAGTTATAATTGAAAGGAAAAAAAAATTGGTTTTTCAGTTTAATTCCATTTTCACTGTGTAATAAGTCGAAATTTAGTTTTTTAAAAAAGATGCAATGAATTGGGAGGTAATGCATATGCTTATACGGTATGTAATTCCTTTAATTTATGAGAAATTGTTAAATTTCTAATTATTAGTCATTGTGTCAAAATAAAATGGAAAAGACGACAAAAAAAATACACCGAAAAAGCAAATGGGTCAAGTAAAGGAGGAAATATTTTTAAATTAAAACGTGAAAGGCTATTTTTTCAAGAAGCATTTTTTGCTTATTATATTGAAGAGATATGAAGGCGAATTATTTCCAGTAATATATTTAAAATAACCGGAATTCCATTATTAAAAGTTTTAAATTATAGAAAGTCAACTTGAATTGATAAGTTTAAAGGGGCGGAAGAAATTGTCATAGAAACTAACATATTTTACATAACTTTAATTTTTTTTTAAATGCATATTTGATCAGAGAAGGGATAGCCTTCAGATGATAGATGTTAATAATTTATGCAAATTTATCTTTTTTTTTCGGAATAATTTTGATTATTCCAAAACATTAATGATGAATTTCTTCAGAAGATTAAATTTTTTGATTGAAAAGTAAAAGTTAAGAAATTCACGATTGAAATGTAAAATTTATTGAACGACTAGAATTGTATACATTTGTACAAATAACTATAAAATTCCATGACGAAGCGCCAAATGGAAACAAAGCTAAAATTTGAATAAATAATTGTTTGTTTGTTTGTTTTACCATTTCCATAAAATATTCATCATATTCTTCTTGTTTATATTTTTCGTTGATCAATTCCATGCATTTGCATATCAATGTTATCACTAAAACAAATTAAGCCACAAATGAATTTAAGTTATTGCTTTTTTTTTTTTAGAAAATATACTGATTTGGAATGGAAATACAACAATTCAACATTTGACAGAATACAAGAAGAATTGGCATTGAGAATGTTTATCAGTGGTTTCTCTAAAGGACAAGTTTAATAATTTTACAAGCTTAGCTAAGATTGTGCTATCAAATATCTTTCTCTTTCAACGACTATTGCAACTTTAGTCTATCAATGATGAAAACATTCCACATAACAAAAATCTTGTTCCGTTACTTTTTCCAGCATTTAACACAAACAACTGTTAAATTTTCGTTACAAATTTTTGAAACTTAAATTTTTGATTAGACATGGATTAGTTTAAGAAATTATTCGATGTGATAAGATTATTTTCCAGGCAAGATTAAGTCTTTAAGAACATAAGTGATATCTTTATCCTCTATTTAAGGCTAAAAAAGTGACCTGAAGATTTGTTCAAGTCTAAGACTGAAAAAAAATGATCTGATGGTAGGCATACTTCATAAAGTAGTAATTATTAACTTATTCCAGCTGTATAGATCAGAAAATGATTAGACTGCTTATTTCATGTTTTATCTTAATCGTCCAGGTGACATATTGTTGATGTCGTGAGTAAACACGAACTTCCATAATAAAAAAATATAGATAACGGTTCATAGGTGATTGTGTTGTGGTGTAAGTATCAAGTTGGATTGTGACTAAGATTTAAAAACCAGAGTAGGATGCTATCGCTATGCATAGAATTGTATATGTGCTCCTCTTTAGCAATGTGGATGAACAAAGAGCGCTTGATTAACTTGCGCCCAACAAAGGCGCCTCCTTGTAAATGTAAAAACAAACCTTGAAGGATGTACATGTAAGTAAACCTTGGAGATAGCAGGAGAACATTCCTTCTTTTTTTCATCCTCCAAATTGATATCTTTGAAATTCATCTTGTAGCGATCTTTTTGTAGCTTAGCTTTACGTGTTAATTTATGTTTTGTAATTCTTAATATATTAGTTACACTCATATTGTTTCCTTATCTAATTATTTAATTACCCAAGTTTGAGATGAAAATAAAGAAAATCTTTAAAACTGTGCTGTCACATTATGCAAACTTTCAGAAAAGTATAATTTCCACTTTAGTTCATACTTTCTTACGTCCACATCTTTTACTTCAGATTATTTACGCCTTCCTTACTCGTTTACTTCACGATTAATATAATATATCAATTCTTTTTAACTGTCATCTCATACCTTTACATCATAATTACTGTTTATCATTAACATGCAAATTATCAAAATTATCATTATAAGTGAATGATGAACATGGACACTCCTGTAATTCTGCAGATTACAAAATTGTAATCTCTTTCAATACACCTGACCTTATTTTATTTTCTATCAATTAAAAAAAAAGAGTACAAAATGTTGACTGCTTTTACTTATTTAAGTATTCATTTCGAATTTATTTAATCATCAATACTTACTTAATTGCGAATCAAATGAGGCAAAATAATTAATGCTCACAAATTATGTTATTTATTATTATAATAAACGATGAATTAAAATAGTTTTGTTAGTGGGAAATTTTTAAATTTGATTGTTGCATTATCGATTATGATAAGTAATTTGGAACAAATTATTTCTTCAGAAATGATAATTTAATGAAATTAATTCGATTCAATCAAATTAGAATATTGCTTATGCAGCACTGTTATCTGACCTTTTTTCTTCCTTTTTTTTAAAATTGTGGAATTAAAGTTTATAATGAATCATTTAATGAGCATTATATTCCATCCATTCTTAGTAAAATTTAAATTAATTCCAAACAAATCATACTGATCTTTTGATGGGTTATCATTCATTGAACTTTAAAGCTATCATTTAATAACCCTTTTCTTGGCAAAAAGAGGAGAAAAGTATAAAAAGAAAGGAGAAACATTTGAAGTGGGCAACAACTTTTTTTTTCAAAATTTCAAATTAGCTCATTAGAAGCGGAAATGTTAAAATTGTAAAATGAAAGAAATTCCCTCTTTGAAAAGATCCTTATCTATTAGCAAAGGAGGGAAGGAAGAAAGAACGAAAGCTGAATAATAAGTACCATTGAGGAGTGTATCCATTATATATGATAGTTATTTTAAGGATTGACAATTAGTTACCAATGGTTACTAAAAGCAAAGGAAAGGGAGAGAGGGAAAGAGAGAGAGAGAGGAGAGAGAGAGAGAGAGAGAGGAGGAAG